GATGATGAAGTGTGAAGAAAACATCAAATGTTTGTTCAAACGCAGGATGATAGCTACCAAAAATACTGCATTCCTGATGGCCATATCCTTGTGTCTTCTGAAGTTGGCAGAATTTTTCCATCCTCTCTTATCCAACTGAAGATCAAAGCTCCCGCAGAACAAATAATTTCAGTACTTCACAATTTTCTTTTCCAAGTTTATTATTAAAAGTATTTAATTTACCTGATCTGTTTTAGAAGGAATACAAAAAAATGAAATTGGTTTATTTATCTTCTATCATTTCTCAGGGTCATGTAAAATATGGACACATCTAAAAGATTGTTCAGTAAAAAAATTTTAGTTTCCTGAGGACAGAGTAACCATATGTTCTCTATTTGTTTTAATCCCTGACTTTAGCTTTTAATGAGATATAATGCCCATTACATGTCCTCAATAAACTTTGTTTATATTTGTAATAAAAAAGAAATGACCCTATGCATGCTACTCTTGTGGCTCCATAGGAATCCATCTCTTCCATCCTCCTAAGATAATTTAATTTCTAGTGACATATCCAGCTAACCTAGTATACAATTTCTAACATTACAGGAGGCATGTGAAAAAGGAAGAGGAAGATTGGGGGAGAGAAATTCTAAACTTATCCTTATCCGTGTGTAAGGAAGGGATTTGGGATTCCCAGCAAATATATTTTCAGCAGTTCTAAATTTGGACAAAATAGGGAAGTGCTTCCTTTGAAAGAGATAGCTTAAGTGAAAGCACCTGTGAAAGGGCGGGGCCTGTTGAAAGAATTAAAGTGGATGTGAATTTAGAGTCAGAGTTCCAGCTGGCTGGGAAGATTAGAAGAATACCTGAGTTGTCACTGAGCTCTGGTGTCAGGAGGAATGGACAAGATCCTGGGAGCAACATTTTTAATTTTTTGGCTTCAGTTAGGCTGTGAGTTTTGGAGCAGAAACCCTAGGATATCTCATTAATTTGGAGGACTGAGAAAACTGGATACAGAGAAATTTATGTAGGTAGAAACTTTAAGGAAGAAATATAAATTTGGGGAACTAATGACTTTTTATCTTTCTATGCAGGGGTGAGTGGCCAACAGGAGAAAAGTGACCAGCAGCAAGTGAAACAAAGCCCTCAGTCTTTGATTGTCCATGAAGGAGGGATTTCAATCCTGAACTGCACTTATGAAAACAGTGCATTTGACTTCTTCCCATGGTACCGGCAATACCCTGGTAAAGGCCCTGAGTTATTGATAGCCATACGTTCAGTTGTGAATAAAAAGGAAGATGGGAGATTTACAGTCTTCTTCAGTAAAAGTTCCAAATACTTCTCCTTGCATATCATGCCTTCCCAGCCTGCAGACTCAGCCATCTACTTCTGTGCAGCAAGTGCACAGTGCTCTCCAGGCACCTGCAGCCTGTACCCAAACCTACAGCTGAGGCTCCAGCCAGACCCTGCTGTGGTGGCTTACACTGGCAGAGCTGTAGACTAGTTTTCATTTGCCCATAGAGGTGATGAAATAAATGTGCAAACTCAGTAGTGTAGCAGTTGAGAGAGCGGTTATTAAAGTAAGTTAAAAAAAAAAA